TACCTGTGGAGGAAATAAAGCACACTTGATGTAAAATTAATTGTTTTATTTTTATTGACATGATCAATTGCTATTCTGTGCACTTCATTAAACTGATTGTGATGACTTTTCATTTGTTTATAATATGTGGCTTCAGTCTTTGGATTTCCCAGCAAAGACAACTTGCTCACTGAAACGGCTGCAGAGAGGAACGATGATCCGTTGTATATAATCAATGTAAAGCTTGGTCCACTTCTGGTTTACTTTGCATGAATGTTCAGTCACACAACTGAGAGGGCCTGGTGGTTGTTGACCTTCTCCCCCCTATGTTGGAACATAAAGAGGTGCAGAAGCCAGTGGAACTTCATTTCCCTAACTCTGACCTGTGTTAGCCCTGTTTTATTCCTGCACCATCCATAGATTTGCTTCCTTTTCCCCTCCACCTGCTGCCCAGGGGCCTGCTCCCTCTGGCTGTTGCTTTCTTGATGGCTTCTGCACCCCTCAAATGCTGGAATGACTTTATCATCTTTCCCTGTCCCTCCTGTGATTTCCGAGCAATATCCATTATTTCCTATGTGACTTTTCAGACTGTCAATGATACTGGTTTTAATATCTGATTAAACTCCATTTTCAGCTTCATTTTCCAGTTGCTTAGCTCATTTGTTTCTCTATTGTCTTCATGATGCATCTATCTGGGCCTTTTTTCTTCCAAATTCCTTCATTCTACCATTTAATGTAGTTGAGCATCATTTGCTTCTCTACGATTCTATTATGTGATGCTTTTGTGGCTCCTCTTAACTCTCCTTGAGTCTACTCTCAGTATTTTTAACCTACAAGCAATAATTTGTCTTTAAAGTTTACACTTTATATTCCCCTTAACCAGCACTTTTACTCCTGCAATTAGACACTGTGTTGATGCTGGTGAGTGCTTAAGTTGGTCTCCTTATTATTCAGACATGAAGTAATGATGGCTTCACTCCCTTTAGGAGTAATTTTATTACTGTTTCTGATCAACTTCTCCATAGATTGTAATGAGTATCAAGAGTTCATCTGTCAGCTTCTACCAAGCCTACTATTTGCGGTTGGATTACGATGTGTGTAGGAAGATACCTTCAAGATACACCTTCAAGAGCTGGAGCAGCCATTCTGACCCTTGGGTGAGTAATCTCACTTAATTCCTCCTGTTGAAAATGTGCATCTGATCCTTGGGACGTTGTCCGATAGTGCCCTTTGGTGGCTTCAGCTTCACATAGAGGATGATGTCACATCGTAATTCTGGTATGAAAGCAAGGAATTCTGTCTTTTGTGATGTTTCTTTCTCATTATTTCAACCCCTCTTTGTGAAGCGTGCCAAGTACAAACAGTATTTAAGTGTTGCATCCTTCTTGCTCTCCTGTGCTCCCAGATGAACATCAGCACTTTGATGTTCAGCTGGTCACTGACCTGGGCCTTTGTTTGCTCCTGCAGACCCATGTATGTCATTTGCCAGTGCTGTCAGTAGTTATATTGGATTGTCAATTATTTTCTCACAAATACAGGTGTCTGGTGGCATTTGGAATGCCAGCTGAAGTCCATTTATAATGCTTTTCCATTAACAAGGACTCCTGAAAGTTACAGTTCCATATGATGTCTCAGGGTTGTGGGATGTTGGGATTTGGTGGCTCCTTAAGCCAAGCACCTTTACACAGTTAAGATACATCTAAGTCATGTTAGGCCAGCAGCTCCTTTGCAGCCTCTTCAGAAAGCCTGAGCAAACATTACAAGATGCTATGGAGCACGTTGCGAGCTGTAGTTATTTATCCTGTAGGTCTCAACTGACTGAATTTAATAGCACCTTTTCTACTGTTTGGCTTAAAAACTGGTGCCAGGCTTCCAGCAGTGTAACCACCCTTCCTGCTCCTCCCTCGCATCACCTTCCCATTGCCCCCCTGCAGTATTCCTGCAGTTTTTACTGGGAATTTTCCCCCACTACTCATCTCCTCTTCCCTACCCTTGCCTGCCCCTGCTGCTTTATCTTCCTGTGGGTCCCTCATGTTCCGTGCTCTGTATGTGACCCATTTCTTCCACAGTATTCCCCTTTAAATCATTTTCTGACTTGCATTCCTTTGCATTCCAGGATGCTTTTTCATCCCTGTCTTTGACAACCCCATCTTTAACCGACATCCTCATCTCTTCAAGCTCTCATGCTGTTCCATGGCTCATCCCACCTCTCGTGATTGTGCATTTCCTCCTGGAATTCCCACCTCCCTTTAAACCCCTTCACAGTTCAGCTTTTTGAATACTTTCTGCTCTCACTGTGCAGAGTCCCCAGCAGCCAGTCTGGGCTTGTGCGCTCAGGACTGTCGAGACCATCCTCTGCACTGATTTCTGGCTGTAGTCATACAAACCCTGTCCTTCCCATTTAATCAGTTTTCCTTTTGGCTTTCTCAGAGACCAGGTGGTTGTCCAGAACCTTAACATTATAAAAGCACTACATCACAAGCAAAGCTATCTATCTCTTCCTGTTTCTGCTCTGTTGCTTATTGCATACTGTTTGCTCTCCCTGGAATGTCCTCCGTGCTCATTAGTCTCCTTAAAACAGGAATTCTAGTACATTTGAACACATTCCCACAACCTCCATACATCTGTCTTCCCTCCTGTCATTTTTCCCCTTTGTTATACTGGGGAGAATTCCAGGGTATGGAGCTCGTCATGGGGACTTGTTTAGAAGACAAGCTGCATTCATGATACTGTAATTCCATCATGTATGATCCTATCGTATTATTATCATCAGCCTGTTACTAAATGATGTGTGATTCCTAACTGCTCCCTCCAGCTCAGGGGGTGGGGATAACAAAGGAGTTTAGCATCCTTTGGGTTTACTGGTTAGAGTCTAGGAGGAATTTCAGCACTCGAGAATGAATTTTGCCTCTGTAAGCTGGTGACTGCCCCTGTTTGTTGCAGCTGATGGTGCTGGGAACACTCCTGCTGTGGGTAAAATGAACTTCTCTTTTTCTCCATTCCAAGGTAACTGTGTGCAGAAACTGAACTTCCAGGTCTGCCACACAACCCTGGTGTCAGCTGCACATGCGGTGTAGATGGGAATGCAGGGATGCTGGGGAAGGAAAAAGACATCCTGATTTCTCTACCTGCAGCAACAGCCATTGGGGGCTGTTTACAGCTGGGATGCTGTCTGCCCCTTTCTTACGCCAGGCTGCCTTACCAGCAGGGTAGGTACTTCATGGGTTTAACCTAAGAAAGGTTGTACATGTTGTCACACCCACAGCTGTGCAGGCACGAGGGAACAAGAACACCAAAGATGTGTCCTCTTCAGTTCACTGCCTTCTCCTTGGCCCTCCCAGCAGCCACTGCCACAGGTCTCTGGGGCATCTGAAGTGAGTGGTGCGACACTGGACATACAAGTAAGTCACTCCTGTACCACCAGCAGTCAGCAGTTGGTGCAGCTGAATGCTCCTGCTTGTGGGAAGACACAAGAAAACTGAGACTAGTAAAACACACGAGGGGTGGGCACTTGTGACCCTATGGAGGAAGGGCTTTCTTAGGAGGGAGAGCTGGTGAGGAAGTACAAGGGCTGTAGGGCAGCTGTAATCACATGGAACAGCCCATTCTCAGATACTGAATTGTCACAAAACAGGTCATTACCCAAAAAGCTGTTCAGCCTCATATGTCTTAAACCTAGATTTTCTATTTAAAGGTTCCTTCCATCAACCAAGACCTAATCATTTTTGTATTCCAGCTGTTAGGCTCTTTGTCCTCAAACGTTTACTACAAAAGGCTACTACATTCTGAGCATGCAGAAACATGCTAAAACAGGACACTTCTCCAGAGGCTGTTCTCCACCCTCTATCTGGACACCTGAAACAACACTTAGTAACCAGTTTGTACATCTACTTTGTCACTATGGGGTGTTCCTTTGCGTTACTACAACAAACCTCACTGAAGCGCAAAGGGGATAGTAACTGACTGCAAACCTTCCAGGGAAAACCTCACCTGTGGGCAAGAACAGCACACTTCTGTTAGCTCCTGGATGATGTGGGGTTATGGGTGGTAAGGCTCCCATAGGTTGGTGGAGGGTGAAGATGAAGTATGTAGAACTTAACTTCTACAGAGACTCATTTAGTTTGGCAGTATCAGTTAACGGAGAAAACAAACTGCATGTAAAATAACCTTTTATTGAGTCAACCACATTTTCCAAAGGCATTTTGCCCTTTCTTTTTGGTCAGTTTGTTTCAAATTGCATACTTAATTCATACACTTTTTATAAAACACTGAAGTTCTCCTTGCTAACCTCAACGTAAGAGTAACAATTCTTTACCTTCAACAGCCCAGCTTTGCTCCTGTCAAGTTTCTCCAACAAACACTTGCTCACTTGAATCTGAGCTACAGCACTGCAGAGGCCCATAAATGACTGGAGGGGAAGGGGCACAGGATTGCAAAGAGAAAGCGTTATTACTTTCTTCCAAAAGGGAATTTCAGGCTGATGTCAAGTAAGTGCATGCAGGCTTACCAGTGGTAACTGTTGTACCACCCAGAACACGGGCTGGTAATGATCTTTCCCTAAAATTGGCTACGGAGTTAGAAACAAATCCAGTTTGCAGTTAAAGCCATTTTAAGAAGTATTTAAAGATGCTGTAAGTGAAATCCCTCCCATTTCTTACAAGATTTAATGTATCAACAGTTTTATAATCCCTTTTAGTTCACCTCTGATGGGAACCCTGTGTCCTTGAGGGATTTAGGTTTTCCACTGGATACACTGAATATTAAAGAACAGCAAATGCTTCCTACTGATTCATGTCACTTACCTACCTATGATGGTGCTTCACTGCAGCTGAATCGTTACTACTTTAGATTTAGTTGCAAGCAAGCAGAAGAGAGATCGGTTTCCCCCAGTAAAGCTGTTTATAGCCAGAGTCTGCATTACGTGCCTCCTCATTCACTAAAAATCCATAAATAATGCTGAAATTATATACAGTATCAGACATGGGTCTTTATTCCTCCCACAAATAAATTACTTCTTTTAAAAAAAACCAAATGTTAACAAAGTATAAAAAGTAATGCCCTAACAAAACGACGGAGCTGGCATCATTCCATGGTGTCTTTGGACTGCTGGAGTAAAACATGGATTTCTTCAAAATACTGCTGCTTCCAACATTGCCTTGTGCTGTCTTCACTAGAGACGGGAACTCCTTTGCACTCTACCTGCAGTTCTGTTTGAGCAGCCATATCCTTGAAACTCAAGGCAACCACTGCATAATGTTCTGGGGGAAGAAAATAAGACATTTCAATAAAGTGGGTTTTAAAGGATCATGTCTGTTGTTGCTAATTTCCTGTCTGCTTCTGCCTGTGAGCAAAGCTTCTTTTCACAGCCCACAGCAGCTATGGTCGTGAGGCTGTCTCCAAAGAATACAAGGCACCAGTCACGCTTGCTCCTTCTCCCTGCCGAGTGTAGCTGCTATCAGAGGTGCTCACAAAGACTCACCATCGGGCCAGCTTCTACACCTCCACTTCAGGACAATTCTTTGGCTTGGCACCTGGAAGAAGAGCAGGAGGTTCTCCTCATTAGCATTGGAGACACTTCACGTTACAACTACTCAGTGCCAATTCTCCCCTGAAAAGCCAGAGGAGCGGTGGTTTATGTAATAGGTAACACAGAGATTGGGGTTTGGTTTGTAAATAAACTGTTTTCATCAAGGTCTCTGCTTCCTGCCTTCCACTGTTCTGTTTTCCGGATGGGTTAAGGTCAGGCTGGTCAGTTATTAAACATCAAACACTGGTTTTCTTGCAGACCTTGAAATGGGCATTGGGAATGGTTTCACCTCTGAAATCTATAAGCATGCCCATGCTTTTCTATTAAGCAACTGGGCCTGCCTGAATGTCCAGCTTAGGCAGCACTACACAAAAACGATTTACAGCCTGCACCAGCTCATGTGCAAAGGGAGGCAGCGCTTCAGTGTAAGCATTCAGTCAGCTGAAGGCTGGCCTAAACCAGCTCAATGTTTTCACCGAGCCATTGAGTTTACATTGATCCTGACTCTTTCACCTGAACAGTTCCTCATCCAACTGCAAAGGCTGATGACAGTAACTGCCCTCCCTCATGGGCTGTCACTGCTGAAGCCAAGCTCAGGCGTAACAGTTCTGCAGTGTCAGAATCTTCCTGGTGTCAGCAACAGACTTTACTAGGCTGAACCTAGAATCCAGTTTTCCAGTCCAGTTGTCAGTGACACTCACTGCCTGCCATTGGACGGACATAAGGTACCAAATCTAAGCTCAGCAACTGTGAAAATGGATTTCAGAGGTTTCACAAACAGAGCTGAGCATTGTCAAAAGCCCCAAATGGAACAGAGATCCTTTTTCCAGTTACAACAATAACTGATACAGGAGCTGGGAGATAAACCTTAAACCTGCTTCCTCCCCCCCAGTAAAAGGGGATGGTGCTGAGAGTTTTCTACCCCAGAGCAGGTCAGCACCTGCTCTTTGGATGGGGAAGAAAAACCACACACCGTAATAGCAATAGTTTTTGGCTTTTAAAAGAGGAACTGAACATTCATTACAGAAACTGAACTGTCGGGAACTTTCTTATGCTCCATTTTTACCTCAGAGAAGGCACCACTGCCAGCCCCCCCCATTTTTAAAGTGCAAAGCAGGAACTTTTTACCAGTTCTGTGTATTCACCGCTGACAGAGCCGTCAAACATCTGAAGTTTGCCTCCTTTCTCGGCTTCAATCACAGCAGGGCACTTAGAAAACTTCTGTACCAGCTAGCAAACCCAGAACACAGCACAAGTCACCTCACTGCAACTCTGTACTGACATAATGCACACTGTGTGAGACAAGACGAAATTAACTAAACTAATATACATAAGAGTCATCAAGCACTAACTGGGTGGGTCATTTTATGCAGCCCTCCACTGAGCTCCGTGGTGGGCCCAGTGAGGTGACAACGATGTACTGGCAAATACAAAGACCAATACAGGTTGTAGCCACGTGCAAGGGGCATGGACAAAGCACACAGAGATACACACATACATAGACATGACTGGCTGTTGCTAGGTTTGGGAATGACTGAGACCTAGCAGCAGCTCCAGGAAGGTGCAGGATTGCTGCTGAGAGCCATTGCTTTTTCCCACTGGAGGCATTGGGATCCTGACTGGAAGTTCTCTGATACCAACCCAGGCTCTTTTGAATTATGAGTAATTTTCTGTTTCATACCCTGTAAGTGACAGCATCATCTCATCCAACAGTTAATCTAATTAACCTGCTAGCTGTGGATCACAGCAGCACCACTACTGAGCACTTGAGGCTCATTTATTGCTTACACAACTATTCAGCTATAAAAGCATCCGCATGACGTTATATTGCCCATTGAAAGCATCACTTACTTCCTTAGTTGTGAAGATGCTGTAAAGTTCATCTGCTGGAGAGTTGAAGATTTCTCTCATAAGTATCTTCACTGTTGGGATTTTTACACCAACTATATCCTGTGGTGGAACAGAATCCTGCAAGGAAAAGACCACTCATGTCAATGCATGCAGGGTCAAACACAAGTCTGGCATCACAGGAATGGTGGTACCTGTGCATTCTTTAACATGCTGTGTTGTGAACAGATGCCAATTACACAATGTATTCCCATATTTACTTGACAGTATTATTAATTAGGATTCACCAGATTAAGTTTGTGTGATCTGCTCTAAAGCCACCTGAAGCTAACTTTAGCCTGAGGGAAGGGATCTGTGCAGGTGGATTCCAGCTGCACCCTGCTGGAGCCACAACCATCACAAAACAAAGCCCTAAGGGGTACATAAATGCTATGATTCCTTCCATCCCTGGCAAGCCCATGCCCAGGAGCTGTGATGGGTCCTTTCTGTATTGCAGGCCCTGACCACAGCAGTGAGAAGGGAGTTCCACCCCAAAGCCTTTCACTTTTGCAGGTGGCCACAGGAATACACAGTTGTGACCCCAGCAAAAGCTGGAGGGGCTACATTGATGGCAAACTTAAGCTTTAACACACAAAGCCAACGTACTTGCATGGTGTGCCCACTTAGTTTTCGCTCAGTGGCCAGCTCCTGACCACCAGTAGCTTTTGTTGGCAGAATCATTCCCAAGGTAAACTCTGGAATAAAGAAAAGCACTTTTCAGCATGAAACTGAGCTGTAAAAATCACCCTGGCATTTAGATACCTAACAAAGACTGCAAGAATGGGAGCACAGAATGAGACATACAACTCCAGTCCAGCTTCCTCGCCTCACCTATATGGTTTCTACTAGTACCAGAGCCTAACAGTGATGCCTAAAAACACAGGTTTTCCAAAGCTACCCCAGATTACTACCATCTGCCCATTAAGGGCTGCACCATCTCCACAATGCTCTGACCAGTCTGGCAGAGAACCGACAAGCTGCCGGTCAGGCACTGCTTTGCCAGCCAAGCAGTGAGGCCGCAGGGCTGACAGCGATGGCTGTGGGCAGTGTGTAACACAATCCAGGCTGGGTCACTGCAGAAGCTTCTGGACACTGCCATGTTGGACAGCAGTAATGGTTTTGACTGGTAGGATTAACAGCTGGTGGCAATTAAAACCAATGCAAACCCAAGGACCTGTCAATATATCACCAATCTGTTCAAGAAAGTAGCCTGCATAAAACCATCCTTTACACAAAGGTTTGATTTACCTGTTTTAAGTGCTTTCAGATAATCTCTCAAGGCCTCTCTGACTTTTGTGGTTCCTTCAGTTCTCATCAGATCCTTCAGGACATCGCCTTCCCCTTTCTTTTTGCTAACATTTATCTAGAAACAGAAAAATGCCAAGATCTAAGTAAGAGGCGTCTGAACATGAGCCTGCTGGGTTCTGGCAACAGAAGAAAGTATTCTGGCTCTGTTTACTACATTCAGAGGACAGCTTCAACTTCATTATCGTCTCGGTTTATCCTACCTTTGCTACAAACACATTCTCTTGGGTTTAGACTTAAATAAATGCTGTATCTCACCTCCACAATAGCTTAATCAAGTTCATCAAGTATAAGCAGAGGTGCCTACTACACAGCCGAGGCTGAGGAACCTGTGGAAGCCACAGTACCGACTGCTGCTACACAACCAACAAGGAGGGTCCTTAAGCTCTTAGGGTTTGGGTGTTTTAACGCTACAATGAGCAAAGTTCTTCTCAACCTTGTGGTTAATACATTGTCACAAACAGTAATTAGCAGAGTAAGTTGTGCACATTCCTAGTAGGTAAATTTGAGAACAGACATAAGTCATTAGCCTAAGTATAAGAAACAAAAGCATGAAATAAACCATCCAAGTGTAATTACCCCACTTAATCACAGGACAAAGCAAAACACGATGCCTCTGTGTTGATTAATGATTTAAGAATTCTGAACCTATACAGCCGTATCAGTATTGCACACCTACCTCTGTATCATCTACCTCATTTTCTTCTGACAGGTTAGGAATTTCAAGAGATCCCTTATGTTTCTCACCAGACTCTTTCACTGTACCTGTATTAACATAACGAATTCTTAAATGCATTATTAAAAACTATTTCCCCCATTGCAAGACTTTTAGGCTTGGAAATCAGTTGTACAAAAGCTCTACTGGAAGCAAGCTGCCTGGAACGCCATTTAAAGGGATTGAACAGCAAGCAAAAGTCTCAAAGGTAAACTCAGCAGTAAAGTTTCACAGTAAACTCTTCCCAGGACTGTATGTTCCTGTACGGATGCAGTCAGATCATTACACACACACAGGTGCTCGTTTTGCCACTGCTCTCACCTTCAGCTGTCAGTTGTTCTGATACTCTACACTTACAACCTCTTGTGTTGTGTCTGCCAACACAGAGCGTGTACCTAGAAGGGGGTAGGGGAAAAATAACTTCCTCTTCCCTAAACATGTCTGCCCTTTACTTGGATGCTCCCCAGAATGCTCTTACCTGCTTCCTGAATATCCAAAAAGCTTCCAACACACAGGCATGTTACTGTAAAACATACGTACGTGTAGCAGGTACGTAATGGAGACTTTTTAGAACACTCACTCTTCTGCTCAAGGCCTTACTGCAAACTGCCCGTGATCACTGCACACACCAGGAAGACTCTGCAAGAACAGAAGTTACACTCTGCTCCTGCATCCTCCTGGGCAGAGGCCCACCATCACTTACTGACTGGTAGTGGATATGGGTTATGACCCTGCACTGCACCTTCTTACCTCATGCCTGATAGTGAAAAGGCTGAATTTAAGGACTGATGCTTGTTTTAATCTTACACTCAAGACTCTTCCCCCTGGCCTTGCAAAAGCATTTAGTTATTTAAATTAATCCACTGTTTAGATCATGTCAAGATCTCTTCAGAAAGCAGCAGCAGAACATGCAGTTCTACCCCAGATCCAGTTATCTGCGTACTGGTTTATCAGCTTAGGTTTCAAAACACAACAAGCTTTAGCAGTCTACCAGCAGAACTCTAAACACTCAAACAACCCAGTGTCAAGCATGACTGCAGAAGGGGAATTACCAGGAAGATGTAATACTTCTTTGGATTCTCTCAGCCTCAAAGGAGCTACTTAGACCCAGCTTCTGCTTAACATCACTCTCCTTCCATTATTTTTAATTACTAGCCTGAAACGACCCACACAGGGGTAAGCTATGCATGAACATAACCTAACATGCTACTGGTCAAGTACATGAACAAATGCTCAGATGCTTCTTGGCAAGACAAAGAGCACATGATGGTTACTAACACCAAGTGGAACACGGAGCAAAGACCCCTTCCTAGATGGGACCCGGCGAAGCACAGGGCACCATGCAAAGCCTGCTAACCCAGACACAGGCAACCACATCCATGCAGGGTAAAGCTAAGCTAAAAGACCTCTCTTGGGCATCTCCAAGTCCCCCAAGAGAACCTGTTAGCTCAAGTATGAAGCCATGTGAACTAGTTCAATTATACCAGTAAAACACTTCTGGTATACAGAAAATCACACACATCCATCTCAGTTTGCTCTTTTCTGCTTTCTCCCAGCTCCAGGATTAGTACAGAGAAAACCACACAACACTACTTTTGCAGACAGCAAAGCAAATCTTTCCAGCTACTCTCCCCAAGAAGGAAGTACAAGTATGCAGGAAGCAGATTTTAGGCACAAAACACAAACCTGACTTACACCCGCTCAGCTCATTTTATTAACAACTTTCACAACTCTTACAATAAAGAATCCCCAATGACACAGGCCACAGAACAGCTTTAAATTCATTAAACCAGTAAACAGATGGGTTTTTTCCCTTTCAAAAGACTGCTTGTCCAAGGGGTTAATGCAGATGGTACCGTGCTGGACAGCAAAGTTGTGTCAGCTAACAGTGGCGTAGGCAGAACGCGAGTACAGCTCCGCATTTTCAGCATCACTGCAATGTAGGCAAAACTCTTACCCATTTATTAAGGAAATAATCACACTGTTGGCTGGAAGCCCACAGGACTCCAATAACAGTCCCAAGAATACATCATTCGTTTGTGTCCTGCCAGTTCAGTACTTCAGAAAATGAACGGTGAAGGCCCATGTCTCAGCAACACCTACCTATAACCCCACTGCTGAAATACCCAGGTTTTAAAAGGACACACACCAAGCTTCCACCACAGCATGGAATAAGCCATAAAAACCCTCACTACACCTTCAAACAAACTGCAGAAGAGCCATTTTGCTCAACTTTAGTGCCATTAATTACCCTTAGTTCCTCGCTTTCTTGCTGCTCTGTAACCTAAAGTGCTACAGGAAATGTTTTTCCAATGTTAGCCTTTCCAAACTGCCTGCAGATTCCAGCTTGTCCTTATGTACCCACGTCTTAATCATAGCTTGAACTCCCAGCTATGCCACAAGACTTGTAGCAGGATCTAATTACAGCAATTAGTGTTTTTAGCGGTTCAGTTTGAACTCTCATGTCTAATTCAGAGCTCCCAGAAAACACTATCAGATTTAAGAGAGAAAACCATCAGCCCCTGCTCTTATAGGATTTCACTGTGCAGCAGCAAGCTCCTTTAAACTGAGCTCTCAAAGACCTTATCCACTCGCCACAACACTAAGCACAGCGCCCAATCAAAACAGAGTTCTCTACAGTTAAACTCTGAAAAGCAGGAAGACCAAGCAGAGGAAAAAGAACGCAGAAAGGATCTGTATAGAAACAGAAACCAAATACTGCTTCTGCCTATTTCTAAGCTTTGCTCAGGGAAACAAACCCAACAAACTAACCAGTGTTTAACACTTAACCTTCAACCACCCGAACAAACGGAACATCAAAAAGCTGATTTCTCTTATTTAAACTGCACTGGTACAAACTGCAGGCCAGAGGATAACGTTTGCCTTCCTCTCTGCTAATGCTTACCTCACAACTGTGTGTTCCTAGGTTCTAACACACTTGTAACATTTAAAACAGAACTCTCAATGTGAACTTCTTTAAGTCCCCTGTTACTGTGGGAGCAGAACCTCAAGTGCAAATCTGTTCCAACAGGAGCACTGGCCTCAGCATCCAATGGAACATTAAAGTTCCAGTCAGGAAAACTGGAAGCAAAGAGGAAACAATCCTTAAGAACTGCACTGGAGAGGGCACCATGAAACAGAGAAGTGCAAAACACAAGCACCCACTGCAACAGCATCACCCCAAACACTGCTCCAGAGACTACCCAGCTGTTCTGGGGCACTGGTACTGCTGCACGGCCCCTGCTATTCCCACCTCCTACAGTAACAACTGAGGCCTGAGAAGTGCAGTATTTTGGGGAGGAACAGCTGTCATTTGACATTACAATATCCAGGCACAACTGACCGTGCAGGCAGGCTCTTTTTATCAGCTCTTCCTGCCTTTTGCTGCAATACAAGAGATGGCCCGCAGCCTGCCACCAGGTTTTAGGCATCTCATACGTGAACATAATCCCTTGATACTACTAAAAGATACATTACCAGGTCAGGCCGCAGACAAAGAGATGCCATGGGACAAGCACAGCAGAGGACGAACCTCCAGCAGTCGGTGTGGCAAGGGGATGCAGCACAGCCCCTTTATCCCAGATAATCACGATTTGCAGCTTCCTTATTCCCACTGCGTGTTTTCTCCTCATGCAATTCAGCATCCTCCATGTAAAGGACACGGGATTCCCAGGAGCACACACAGAACACCCCCTCGGATCTCCTGCCTCCTGCTACCAGCACAGCAGGCACCGGGGCAGCTCGAGCCCGCTGTTAGGAGCGATACGGATCTCACCACAACACAAGCATTTACTTCCTGCAGAGCAAAACGACGGGGCCCGGAGCGACCTGCTCTAGTTAAGGTGTCCCTACCAGCGACAGCGGCTGGAACCGGATGAGCTTTAGGGCCCCTTCCAAGCTCTTCCATGTCTCTATGAATGCTGTGCTGTTAAAACAACCCTAAAATACATGCGTAGCACAAAACAAGTTAGACGAAGGGCAGAGAAGGTGGGGTTTTTACATTACTTAAACACAAGCACAGAGTTCAGGCCCATGCATCTCCTTGACTCCGATTCCGTTTACCACAGCATTCCCAACCCCAAGCAGAGCTCCCTTCCCAAAGCCGTCTCTCCCGGGCACACCAGCAGAACCGGCAGCGCCAGACCAGGCTCAACCCCAGGCCAACCCGCACCAACACACACCAGGACCCCGCTTCCCCCCGTACCTCTCCAGCTGAGGCGCAGGTTCCACTCGTAGAAGAAGATGAGTTTCCCCTTGCGGCTGTTGCAGGACGCTTCGCCTTCCACGTGCTTCAGGTCGCTGATCTCGCAGCGCCCGGCCTCGCTCTCCACCACCAGCCCCACCAGCACCTCCTTCAGCTTGCTCTTGGACCAGCTGGTCGCGTCCCGCTCCGTCCTGCCCCGGGGAGCGCCGCCGTTAACCGCATGGCTCCCGTCCCGTCCCCGTTCCCTTCCCTTCCCTCCCCTCACCAGTGCCAGTTGTTGACGTTGGTGCCGTCCGCGCGCTCCTCCACGATCCACCGCGGGTCCCCCTGTCCCCACTTGGCCATGGCGCACCCACAGCGGCTCCCGCCGCCCGCAACGAAGCTGCCAGAACCTTCCCCGCCCCCGCCCCGCGCGCCGGAGGAAGAGGAAGGCGAGGCCGCACCGCCCTTCCTCTGCACTCCCACCCGCGCCTCAGCGCGCCTCAGGCGGCGGCGGCGGGGAGGAGGAGGCAGGGCCGGGAAGGAGGGGAGGGGAGGGGAGGGGAGGGGACGGGACGGGACCGCGGCACAGGGACCGCCCCAGCTCGCAGGGCCTGCGGCCGGCTCCGGAACCTCCGCCGCGGGGAAGGTGGGCGGGAGCGTCCCGGGCATAGATGAACGGGGCTGGGAGAGAGCTCTGGGGTCCGGTCCGAGTGCCAAGGCCACCACTAACCCACGGCACTGAGGCCTCGTCTCCACGCTGTGTGAACACTTGCAGGGACGGTGACTGCAGCCGTGCCCTGGGCAGCCTGTTCCAATGCCTGAGCACCCTCTGGGGAAGGAATTGTTCCTCAGCTCCATCTAAACCTGCCCTGGTGCAGCTTGAGGCCGTTTCTTCTTGTCCCATCCCTTGTTCCTTGGGGTGAACTAACCCCGAGGAGGAGTCAGTGCAAAGGAGCAGCAGAACCCGCACCCGAGGTGTGCTTCACCTCAGGTAAGGACACGGCAGCACACGGGGAAGCGGTTTTATTGTCTCGCCGTTGAAATCAATGCGCTGTGAGGCAGCACCATGTGTCACAACCCCCCTGCAGCCCTAGGGCTTACGTTGTTGTTTGTCCGTGTCTTGCACCGCAAGAGGAACAGAAGGAATCACAACCTGGATAGCATCCCCTTATCCCTGTTGCTCATTTCACTCTGTACGGGCACTGTGTTCTTGCCAGCAGCTTGCTGCTTCAAGCATTGGCGGTGGTGCAGACCCCGTCGGCAGTGTCAGGCTCATCGTCTTCAAACTCTGCCTCCAGAACAATGGCCACTTCCGAGAACTTGACCCCTTTCAGGTCTTTCTCAGGGCGAGGCGTTGTGGGGTGTGGGGTTAAGGAAAGAGCTGGGTCCTGGTTCCTGTCTGTCAGAAAGCCGTCCTGCAAGAGAGCAGCGCAGGTAAGGCAGAAAGCGTAACTACAGAAGTGTAACTTTACGTAGATAAATATATTTTATACTATTTTATGGAGAAGAGAAGCTGTGAGGAGAGCTCAGAGCAGCTTCCGGAGTCTGAAGGTGGCTACAAGGATGCTGGAGAGGGACTCTTCATTAGGGACTGCAGTGATAGGACAAGGGGTGATGGGTTCAAACTGAAACAGGGGAAGTTCAGGTTAGATATAAGGCAGAAGCTCTTCCCTGAGACGGTGCTGAGGCGCTGGCACAGGGTGCCCAGAGGAGCTGTGGCTGCCCCATCCCTGGCAGTGTTCAAGGCCAGGTTGGACACAGGGGCTTGGAGCAACCTGCTCTAGTGGAAGGGGTCCCTGCCTGTGGCAGGGGGTTGGAACTGGATGAGCTTTGAGGTCCCTTCCAACCCAAACCATTCTATGATTCTATATTCTGTCTCCAAAGCTTGCAATGAAAGCATTTGTTTTAAGGCTGCAGGTTTTAAGAGCAGCGCATGAGTACCCTTTACTGTACACGTTCCATAAAAGATAGAGGAAAATCATTTCTGGATCACAAAGCTATTGTCCTCCTTCTAAGCAGGACAGACAGCCCTTCCTCAATAAGTGATCATTACTTCACATAAGATTTTGTTACTATTACTTCTGTTTCCATCGCTGGGTTCCTTATTTTTTGGTAATGCTGTCAGTTATTTGATGGAGAGTGATAAAATCTCGCCCTACTCTTTGGAATTGGAAAGCTGGTTACCTGCTTGGCTGTGAAATCTGCAGTGTGCTGGGCATCCCCATTTCTGGGCTCAGCAGCTTTTTCAGATGCTCCATTATCTTCGTGTTTGCTGTCGAAATCTAACAGCAGCGTCTCAAGATAAGTGCATTTTTCATCAGCCTGAATCAGATCTTTGTCGGAGTCTCCTCCTTTGGTGTTTCCCATGTTGCTAAACGCTACCATTTCCTTTTCCCTGGAGGAGGGAAGAGAATTCCCAACACCTTGAGCTGGCAAATAGTTACGTGAGAAGAATCTCAGCCTCTCTAAAACTGAGAGCAACGTGTACGCTCATCCCAAAATGAATGGGATTTAACATTCAGGCGAACATTAAGTGGCTTCTTGTATCCTGAAGGGGGTTATTTTATGCATAAGGCTAAAGAGTAAATAGGAGTTTGCACTTGTAATTTTGGATATAAAATTAAAAGGCATTAGCACCCTTCATTCATTGAGTTTTTACTTGTAACTGTAAGGGTTCTTAAGAATTGACCTGTACACCACTGAAAGATACAAGGAAAACGCGTCGTCACCAGAATAAACAAGAGCCAAACCTTTTGATACCCTATTTTTATATCAGCTTGGGATATCACCACTCTACTTACACATTATTGACGTGCTCGAGCTTCTCTAAGCTTTTCACGCTTCCATTTTTGTCAGTTGCCCACAGATTATCAATACCCTCTACAGTTTCAGCTCGCTGCTTAACCAGATACTGCTGCTCCTGCTTCCTGCAAGTGATAAGTACATTCAAATAGAATGGTTAGTTCCTTTTGGAGATTGGCTTTACAATTGTTTTAAAAACAGAGCTCGAAGTACTTGTGCCAGGACTTTAATACACAATGTTTCAGGATAAGTTTGGAGTATTCCTGTTTTCCCATAATGGCAGCAGGGTAAATAACCTGCTGCCCTCCTGGAAATGAGAGTTCCTTTTCCTATACAACGCAGTCCTGCTGCCACTGAAGTTTGCAGCAAAACCTGCTCTGATTTCAGCATTTGTGGGGTTAGAAGAAATGTTTGTGGGTATATTACAGCTCCTTGTGCCCCCCGTCACAGCTGAAATGTCTGCTGTCCACATTTCTGGTTTTAAATCTATTTGTCTCTGCTGTTGCTGCGTGACAAACACAAGGAGAATCCAACGTTCAGTTACTCACAGTGTCACTAACACCTACAGTACACCAGGCATTTTGATTTGCAGCAAATCTTAGCTGATGGTTTACTGATATTTGCCTGGAGTACTGCCTAAGTATTTTTCAGCTTGACATTTAAAGTGAACTTACTAGCTGTAAAAGTCTAAGTTTTATTGTTAAAGTATTTGTACCTTTTTATGGTAAAAGCTACATATACCAGGAAGCCGATGAGGCTGAAGGCCAGCAGAACACTGAGCACTATCGTTGCAATGAGTTCAGGACTTGCTGAGTCAGCAGGAGCTTCTTCTATGCTGGTGGTAACAGGCCTTGAAAATATTTTCTCCAGTTCTGTCTCAATGTTACTCTTCTGCTCCTGAAGTTTTCTGAAGACAGAAGGGTAAACTGCTCACTACTTATCAGACCTTCACTTTGGCTTGAAGACTAGTGAAGAAAACAACAGAAATAGCGCTTCTTGGTTCACTCAGACCTATTCCAAAGACTCAGACATGTCTTTAATTCAGGAAAAACTGTTTTCCAGCAACAAACCCTGCTGCTTATGAGCTAAAGTGGTGCAACACCGGGAAAAATGGAACTTGAGAGGTCAGTATCCCTTAAAGCCACATCAGGGCAGCTGCATGTACTCCTATAGATACCAACAGCACTTTCCTCAGAGGAAAAGCAGCCTCACAGTAGCTTTCCAATGCCTAAAGGGGCCTGCAAGAAGTCTTGAAGAGGGGCTTTTTTGCAAGGGCATGTAGGGACAGGACAAGGAGAAATGGCTTTAAACTGACAGAGGGGAGACTGAGATGAGCTCTTAGGCAGAAGCTCTTCCCTGTGAGGGTGCTGAGGCGCTGGCACAGGGTGCCCAGAGAAGCTGTGGCTGCCCCACCCCTGGCAGTGTTCAAAGTCAGGTTGGACACAGGGGCTTGGAGCAAGCTGCTCTAGTGGAAGGTGTCCCTGCCCGTTGCACGGGTTGGAACCAGATGAGCTTTAAGATCCCTTCCAACCCAAACCATTCCATGATTTTATGAAATAAACAGCATCATTCATGTTTTTGACAAACTCTGAAAACTGCTTTTCAATAAATAATATTGAAAGCTGTCTGAATTCTAAAACCCCCCTTTAAACCTTGAGATAAACCTCAGATAAAATGGTATTTGATCTAAACCTGCCCTGTCCAAGACATTAATAGTTGTCATGGGAACAAACCCCAGGTGCATAGCTCTGACACCCTGAACACAGACTGTGCCATACTGACCTTTTTACTTCTTCTGCAGGTACCTCCTGGTTTGCCTCATCAAAGGCAATGATTTTTACATAGGTTACATCAGTGCTGCTTCTTGCTTTTCTTTCAACCTCATTGGAATAAACATCAACGATGTAGACATTCCATGCAAGTTTATCTTCCAGGACCCTGCCAGCATATGAAGAACTCATTTTAAATTAACTGGGTAATGACAAATGGTTTTACTCTGGAAATCAAATGATATCAACTTGTCATATATTTAGTATTTTAATCTAAGCACGTGAAAATGCAGGATTATCATCAGCAAGAGTTAAGCTCTTTGCCCAGTATCATTGAGTGAGTAGCAGGGGGTGAAAGAAATCCAGTCCTTGTGTCTGATGAGCAAAGATACTTTTCATTAGTAGTGCTACATAACTTGTGCATATAGCCTGAAAATTCTTAGTTAGGTGCCATTAGCATAACTGAATAATTAATTAGAGAAAGGCAGGTTAAAACCCCTTATTACCTAGATTTCATAACCAGTATTGTAGGGTAGATCATATAGTTAGTCATGCTTTTCGATGGGGCGTACGTCTCGTTTCATGCTTGGCATTATAAATACAGGCTTTTATAAGTTTATAATACCATTAGAGTATTATAAACAGTTCAAGTGGGGAGGAGGGAAATTTGGTCTCATAATGCACCATCCCTGGAGACATTCAAGGCCAGGCTGGACGTGTTCTGAGCAGCCTGATCTAGTTGAAGATGTCCCTGCTGATTGCAGGGGGTTGGGCTACGTGACCTCTGAAGGTCCCTTCCAGCCCAAACTGTTCAGTGAAGTTCTTTCCAACCCTAACCGTTCT